GGCTGCCAATGGTTCTCGTCATACTCTGGGAGGATTGTCCAGCCGTCTTGGTGGTCGGATGGCGTCGCCACCGTCTTGGGGCCTGATCCGATACTACCTCCAAATCCTCCGCGTGCAGTCAACCACGTACTGAGCTTGCGGCGGAATTTGCTTGTCTGGTGTATATCGGAGAATGCCCTCATTTCGGTGACGAGGTTATCCTCGACAACGTGGCCGAGGTGCCCCGCAGTATCCGATGTCCTGGCCATACCAGGTGGGCGTACGGGTAGCTTGATCGCAGCGCGATCAAGTTTTGAAGCGTAGCTGGGAGGCGTCAATCCATTACTGTACACATCGTGAGGCGCACAAAGCCCACCTTTGTACGAGTAATTTGTATCCTGAACGCTGACCTCAGCATATTGCCCAAGAAATGCACTGCCAACTTTTGACCAATCGTTGTGCATCATCATCCACTCTGCCTTCAATACCACCGTCGTAAGCTCCATTGGTGGACACTTGCGGTGTGAGTTTGGAATCACAGCATCCAAGTGATCATGTAAGCCACGAACGTTTTCTTGCACAGAAGAACTACGCGTGAAGAGGCGGGAAATCATGCACATGGCTTTCATGAATGACATCCACGGTGCGGCCGCAGTCGCACTGTACCCGGAGTTGGCGTTGCCGCCGACTCCTCCATCAACTTTGCCGATCCAACTCGTCACGTCGGCGGACGCGGAGCGGGTAACTTCGACCATGGTAGATTCGTCGGGTACACGTAGATCATACTCTGCACTACGATCAAAGCGCAGATGATGTACGTAGGTGAAGCCATCCTCGGGACCGCGAGGACGACCCGTCTGAGCGTGGTACGTGAAGCCCACGCGGTCGTCGTCCTTGGCGTTCGGGTCGTAGCTGGCGTCATAGGCGATGGCCCAGCCGTCGAGGTGGAGCGGCGGTGCCTGGTCCATCTCGAGGATGGGGGGATCGGGGTTAGAACCGATCTCACTTGATTGCGTCTCGCACACAGCGAGCAAGATGCTGGTAAGCTTCGTCGCTCGAGTGGTAAAACAGCTGCGGCACGATCGTATAGTAAGTGTCCTAGACCTCTCTGTATCATGCGGTGGTGAGGGAGGATGACGGCGGTGTCTACCGTGCGGCGAACGTGCCCTCGATCGAGGTGTGCGCGAATCGGTAGCCGCAGCAGGAACACCGATATGGCACATGCATGCACATACGCCCTCGTGATTGGCTTGTCCAACACACAAGAATCCGCATTCTGATCCTACCTCGCCCCATTTTTCTTTGTCTGTCAAAAATATTTTACATATCTCCGAACATCCATCCAGTTTTGGAGGTTCAGCGACACGAGGTAGACCATCGGGTCTCTGAGGCCCTCGTAGTGGTCTCCTTGGATCCTTTGGAGCGCACTCTAACGGGGCAACAGGAAAGATGAGCGAGTGCTCCAATAGATCCCTCCAGAGGTCTGCTTTCTTTGGCTCAAAATGTTTAGTCCTCATATCTGCAATTTGCTCTTTCGTACCTACATATTTGAGCTCAATATGTTCGAATTGACATGTCACACATATCAAATCCAAGTTTATACGATGAGTACGATGAAGATGACGAAGTGCGGGTGCACGTCCCTTTTGGACAATCTTGATGACGGCCTGGTTATCCTCGAGGACGATGAGATGCACTTTGGGAGGGCTGCTCTCCTGAGCAGGCACTGGATCCACGTGTAACACGGTACCCTCATGGGATATCGTGCGCCTCTTTGGAGGCATAGATAGCTCCGACTTCAGCGGTAGCTGCCTACGGCTAGGAGAAGATCCCCGTGTATGGGGATGCCTTGCGAGGCGATAGCTTACGCCTCTTCTTTTTGGCGGCCAACGTCGGACATATCACCGTGGCGACGCGTCCCAGGCAGCCCGGGCAAGTAGTCTTCTCTTTGCAGGTGTTGGCAACCTCCACCACTGGCTCCCATAATGAGAGCAGTGGTAGTCCCTCCAGTCTTAGCGCCGAGCCGAGGGCAACGATCTCGGACTCTGCGGATGAGTGCGATACGACCGTTTGTTTCTTGCACACGGCGTTGACGGGGAAGAACGTACTAGGTCCCACAAGCACCGCGAAGACGCCGGTAGTGGACTTGGAGGAGGTAATACAATCGGCGAACGAGGCGTCAGTGAAGAGCATGATGGATAGCGTGTCTGGGGAATCGCCTATCCATCCATGTAAACAATGGGTACGCGTCGTTTTGATGTAGCATATCAGCCGATGAAGGCGTTTATCACACGCGGTATTCCATTTGGTAATCTCTCTGGCTAGCATACATACTGGATGTAGAAGATCAAGACGACAACAGCGTGCCAGGTAGAGAATCTTCATCAATACACTCGCCGCGTCCTGGCCGATGATACCCTCGTCGGAATAGTCGGACTCGGTAAAGGAGGTGTCCTCGATGCCAGGAGTTTCTGCGTCGGGTAGGTCATCTTATGTGACTGTCGTTGATTGTGTCGTAGTGGAAGGTTCGTCGACCGATCCAGCTGGGCTGGATGATCGTGACCGCGCGTTGAGCGCGCTAGTGGGTATCACGACCGACCTGGAGGAGCTAGGCGATTTGGATCGCGAAGCCCTCGGTGAGTCGGACCGTTTACGACGTGACCCTGCCCCATAGGTACGCTTGGAGGCGCACTCCAGGTAGCGTTCAATACATTGATCAGTAAAACCAAGCATGTCATGTCGTATCCCACGAACTTGTTTAGCTGCATGGTATTATTTATCACTGTGTGCAGGCAACATAGATCGAATGGTAGACATTATTTTGTCGAAGACGTTCTGCGGTACGTCGTGTGCCTGTTGTCCACAGCCAAGGTATTGAGAGTATGGAGTAGGCGGATCCAAATCAATGCCGCTTTTGCGGATATGATCCCAGCCGGCTTGTAGGCTGACGTTCACTTCGGCCATTGGGTCAGCATTGCATGGGGGCCAGAACGGCAGCAAGTAGGAGTAGCAAGCAGGTGAAGCATGGTCGCATCTGGAGTGGACGATTTGCCGTCAATTCCTCAGTTGACTCCGAAGGGCAATCGGGTCGTTTTAACGGTCAGACATACCCAAACCATGTCTCCAGAAGCGCTACTGCATTGTGCAATTCAATGCAATGCAACTCATTGTGCAAGGCAATGTGCAATCCCATGCACTGCCATGCGCTATGGAGCGCGCTATGCAATGCAACGCAAGGCTATGCGTTATGGCGTGCAGCATTATGATGTGATGTGGCATAACACGCCAGGCAACCGACTGCGATTCATGCCATACTGAACGAGAGCGGCGGCCCCCAGCCACAAAAAAGGAGGGCGGCAGTAGAACGAGGAGACGCCATAATGCATGAGCGACAGGGGGCAAAGAAAGGGAACGAGCCAAGGAGGTGCGCAAGGCGCACTCCCCACCAATCCTTTGGCGAAGTCTCAAACTTCTCCTTCACTGCTACGCCCTGCTCGTTCCTCCCCCATCCTCTCTCACCGCCTCCCTCTCCCTTCTCCTCCTCCAACTCCCCATGCTCCTCCCTCTCCTCCACCACCTCCTTTGCCCCCTCCCCCCTCCGTTCTCCGACCCCCAACTCCTGATCCCCACTCCTTCCGTCATCCGTCTCTTCCGCCTTCTTTCCTTTCCCGTGCGCACCCCGTCTGCGTCGCGCTTTGCGGCCCAGCTGCCAGCGCCAAAGAGGGATGTGAGGACGCGGGGTGTTCTGGGATCCCTTCACTCCCCCCCTTCACCCCCCTTGAATTACCAGCCCATTTCCCCAACACCCTTATCGGATTACCCCAGACATGAGCATCTCGTCCTCTCCCCCTCCCCACCCCACGCCCAGTCCGCATGCGGACCCTCGTCCGCCCCCCGCGTGCACGGGGGTCCGACTACAGGGGCGCATTCGGGGCCCTTGTCGGGGGGGGCCCTGGGAGCCCCAGGAAGCCTTTGATTGGGGGCAAGGCAATCCGCGAACAGACTTCAAGAGGGCCTCGGGAAGCAACCCAGTGGATGCTACAGGGGGTCCATTTTGTTGCAACATTTGTCTGCTGCCCTCCTGGAGTCCATCTTGAGCGCTCTCTTGGAGCCGTATGCCCGTCGCCGCCATTGCCCTCACTCCCTTTCTCATCCCCCATCGAGCCTGTCGCCCCATCCGTCCTCCCGCCCCGTTCCCACCCCCACTCTAACACGACGCTGGGAGGAGAATGATAAGGAGGAGGAGCAGGAGGAAGGAGCGCCGACAACTCGGCCTCCCGAGTTCGGCCTGAACACATCATCCCGCCGACAGGCAGGTCAACCCACTATCCACCCTAGAGGTGCTTGCATCCCGTTTCACGCTGTGAGGGCGGCGCGGATGATGGTGGTGGTGATGGTGGTTGTGGTTATGATAGTGATGATGGTGTTGATGGCAACGAGGACGAAGGAGACTAAGGGAGAAACTGGTGTGAACTATAACACCAACCCCGTGTGTAATGAAAATGCTAATGCACCCGTGCCCAGCGAATCATCGGGATGCACCTCTCAACACGCACTGGCGGCCAGTGCGCATGCGAGATCACGCGATCATATTCACTTGCTTCGGTCGACGGCTTGACGCATAGCCAGGCTTCGGCAACACCCCCAGAAGACCGCCCTGGATGCCTGGGGGCGAAGACCCCCGCTTGGCCCTATGACCTACACATCGATTTACGTCACGCCGTCGACGGAAACCAATGATATGACTAAACCTGGGGGGGGCACTCTACCCCAACTCCCTAAATTGCAAAATGCATTGTAACGAGCCCGCTTCGTGCCGCTGAGACGCGCGAGCCTGGGCCTCTTGGCAGCTGGCGCCTGGGACAGGCCCGTCGCCTCCCCCCCCCCAGGGGAGAGGCTGCAGTGGACGCCGAGGCGGGGCTCTGAAACAATGCCGACATCGTCCCCGCCGAAGTCGAAATTGCCGACGAACTCCCGCTCCTCCGAAGGCTGCCTGTGGCTGGCGACGCTGGTGTGCCGACCGCCCCTTCTCGCTTGACCACGGCGTGCCCGTCGCTGAAGACCATTGCAGAACCGTCCACGATGCATTTCAGCTCGCTCCAGAAGGCGCCGGGCAACTGCACTTTCTTCTTCTCTTGATGCTCCTTGATGAAGCTGGACGCTTTCGTCGACGCACTTGGGCCCTGTGACTGGAACCTCAGCAAGTTGACGCCCTGGATGAGCACCGTCGCCTGGTAGAACTTCGCCAGGAGCGTCGATGCCACAGCGCACCCAGACGACGTAGTTGGATGCTTGTCCACTGGCGGCGACAGCTCAATGCGTTTTGAAATCACCGAAACTTTGCCCAGCACTTGGTATATGCGGTTGTAGCTGGCCACGGTGGGAGGCAACTGCTCGCCCAGCAGGTCGATCGCCATCTGCATGTTGAGCACTCCGTCCTTGAAGATCGACTCCCACTGTGGCATCGTCGACTGGCACTCGGAGACCACGGCGGATAGGCATGTCATGCGATGCGCCATGACAGCATCGCGGCACCTCCTAGCAAAAGAAGCCATCTGCAGGGCCCAACGGCCCAACGACTGCAAGGGGACTCGCAAGCCCCATCCATCTCTCTCAAGCGACCTCCCAGCGTCGGCGTTGACCAAGTCGTCGATCACCTTCGCACGAGAAAACATGAGCACCAGCACATTGACCTGGATGTTGCAAGACGGATGGGGTTCGATGTTCTTCTCAAACATCTCCTTACGCCCGGCGGTCGGGTCGATGAGGTAGCGCTGGGGCGCCGTGGCCAACATGAACTGGCCCCTCACAGCGCACACGACGTCAAACACAGATGTCGCGATGTGCATTGGCACTGGCCAGTCCTCGCCCTTTCGGGGGTCCCGAGACAGCAACGAAACGCACTGGCCCCTGCTTACCTTGCCCCGTCCCCTCTACCGTCTCCCTAGGCCAGTCGTTTGAAAGTTACCACTGAGGGACTGTTAGTGAGTGCCCGTTGCCCTCGCCCCCTGACCTGGCGACCATCTGCCAACACGGCGCCGCAAGTGCGCATCTCAGTCATGTTCGTCGCTTCGGCGAAGTCCTTCAATGCAGTCAGCGCCTTGTTGTGGGTGAAACTTTCGAGCATTGTGTCAGAGTCGGCCGTCGTCTGCAGCGCCTCCACGACTTCGGAATGCAAGGGGCCGTCGGCACCTGGCTTGCGAACGAGGCGCCCTAGGATCTGAGCATCGAGGATGACACCAACACGTCATCCTGGACCGCACCGATCTCGAGGTCGCTGAAAGCCAACATATTGAGCACGCGGGGGGCAAGCCAGACGGCCGCTGCATGCTGGTAGGTAATGTCGCCGAAGTTGGCCTTGAAGATCACGAAAGCCTCGCTGATGGAATGAAAGACGTTCGCGTCTTGCACGGCGCTTTCGCCATGGAACAGAATCGCATTGACGCCCTCTAGCTGGTGTTGCAGGCCGGACAGGTTGATCGCGTGCTCCTTGGACTTTGGATTGGTGGCGGTTGCATCGAATAGCGCATCGGACCCCCCATCAACAAACACGGGTAAGAGCTCCACGACCGCGCCCATGTAGTCCATCATATCTGTGAGGTTCTGACGGTTGTCCTCGAGCGTTGCCAACAGCACCTTCGCACACCCGATATCGCCCAGCTTCTCGGCGAGCTCCACGTCGCCGGTCCTCTTGGTCAAGGCCTCGGCGCACTTCGTCGTTCCGAGTACCATCGTCTGAAGCGCCTCGTAGAACTCCTCCGATTGGAGCCTGGTCGCGTGCAAGTCCCCCAGCGCAGCGATGACTTTCGACGCTGGTGACACTGCTGCAAAGCCAGCACCGCCCTGCTCGACGATGCTCTCTGAGACTGCTACAACCGCACCTTGGGTTTCTGGTTTCGCTGCTGCTGCGCCTCCGACTGCAACCGATTCGACGGGCACACGCAAGAATTCATCGCGTCCCTCTCCGGCCTTGGTGGCGCCGATCTCGTCCAGGACCCGAGCCAGAGGGCGAGACACGGTCTTGTGAAACACCGAAACGAGACCGTATACACCATTGCTCAGCCGCTCCATGAAGTTCCCCATCGCGGCGCAGACGGGCTCAATATCATCCTTCAGCGCCGCGGGTGACCACCTCGATGCACAAGAGATGATGCTCGTCTGGATGTCGATAATGGGCTTGAGCCTCTTCCCCAAGATCGCGTAGGTCATGACGTCCGACTCGTCCTCTGGCTTAGGCTCGTTGATGAACAATTCCATGTCCGTGTATGCCTCCTGGAAGCTCTCCTCAAAACGATTGCAAGCCTGGTCGAAAATGGAATTTGCAGCATCGTCCTCAACCCCTTTCGAAGCATGCCTCCTCGCTTGCTCCATGATGAAGCTTGCGGGGGCGATGCCGACCATCGACTTTGCGATATTCTGGACAACGGGTCGCTGATCATCTGAAGACTTGGTTGAGGTAGCGTTCTGGTTGATGAACTTCCGAGCTGCTCGAACATCAGCCGTCGTCGGCTTGTCCTTCTCATCTGGGAGCAAGCACTGACACGCGACTCTCACGCTGCAAAAGGCTGTCTCGACCTGAGTGGTGTCCATCGTCTTCTCCTCGGTCTCGAAGGTATTCACCCATGAACGCCAGATAGAGCTGGTCTCGTCTACAACTTGCATGCGAGTATCCATCGTCATCTCGCCCTTGGCTCCGATGCTCTGCCAGTAGTGCTCTAAGCTTTTCCAGACCATGATGCCCAGCTGCACGGCGACGGGAAGAGTGATGTCGACCGCGTCATCGATGGGCAGCAGCCGGCCCCGATGCCTCCTGCCTGGCGCGGCCCCTTCTGCTGCAGGTGCCTGCGGAGCGCTGTTTCGCGCCTCAGTGAGCTTCGTCATGTACTCTTCTGACATCTCGAGCACTCTCTTCAGCGAGCCAAGGTTGATGTGCCCGATCGCCTGTCGTGGATGGCGACGCGGACTGCGGGTTGATGCGAAGAGGGCACTGCCACTGCACTGACCCTGAATCCCTAACCCCCCCAATTTGCACGGGGCCACGGCCACCCACACCAGAACCCACATCATCAAGTATACCAGCCTACCCCCACCCCCCAGACCCCTCAAAATCAGGTATCCCAGAAATCGTCAGCGTTGGCAAACCCCCAGCTTCGCGACCAACCCGCGATCCATTTGGCCATGCGACTGCCTTCGCCACGGATCCGCTTTCCATGTAGACGCTGAAGAAGATCACCTTCAGGGTCACGAGCCCCACAGGCGGCGCGACCTCCAAGCCCCTGCACTTGAGGTACTTCAACTCGACCATTAGATGCGGCAGCGCCTCGACTAGCTTGTCATCGGTCTTGAATTGGGTCCACTGGTGGAACCACTTGTGGATTGCCAAAAGCCCCTTGGCACGCTCCTCAAGCTGCTTGCAGCAAACCTGGACATCCAGCACAGCCTCCCCCATGATCTTCGATTCGTGAGTCATGAGCCGCCTGGTCAGAGCGCCGACAGTGGCCGCCTTGAAGTCCTTGTGCCAGTCGACGCTGCAGAGCCCGTCGACGTAACCATTGACGGTCTTCCTGATGCGCGCCAGGTGCTGGAACGCTGTGCCCCTGGGGAACTCCTCACCCAATGACAGAGGCGTCGGATGGCCTTGCCACCTGGCGGGGTCCAGAGTTGTTGATGGGATCTCTCCGTCGCCATCGGACTCCCGTGCCGCGTGCTCGCCCTCATCCTCATCGGCCATCTCCTCGCCGATGCCCGACGCCTCCCGTTGGGCCGAATCGCCGCTGGCACGGGCCGTCGCTTTCGACGCCGACCTACTGACTAGGCGAGGGCCGACGTCGGAAGTCAGGTCGATCAGCGTGGTGGACCACTGCGAGGCTGCTGGCACCGCAGGCTGCGCCGCAGCCTCAGCGCCCTCGATCTCCTCTTTGACGTTCTCTGCAGCCACCTCCTCGTCGGCGGTGTTCCCATGGGCGCTGCATCCCTCCAACGCCATATCATGCTCGGGGCTGGCGAACCACCCAGACTCCCGCTCTGGGTCATCCTTCGGGCTCAAAGTGATCGGGCCGAGCCCCAGCAGCACGTCGTCGCTAGAGACGCTGCGGATATGCAACTCATCTTTCACTGGAACCGACATTGCTGGTGGAGCGAGGCACTCGTCGCCTAGCTGAGCCCCAGCCCTGAAAAGCCAGAACGGCTATGGTGAATGGAGAACTGTTTAACTAAACTGTTTAACCAGGCGTTGGTCCATGCGTTGTTTCATTTGTTGAACCACATATGTTGCACGACATAGCTTACTTACACCTTACACCAAGTATATTGCACCACCAGGGTTGCGCCGCATAGCTTGCACATAGCTTGAACCACATAGATTACACCACATAGCTTGCACTAGATAGATTGCGCCACATAGTTTGCACCACATCGATTGCACGGCATGGGTTGCACTAGATACGTTGCACCGCATAGATTGCACCACCTAGCTTCCACCAATCAGCTTGCATCTTATAGATTGCACCACATAGATTGCACCGCATCGATTGCACCACCGACGCCGTCAGCGTCGTCGCCGTCGTGAGCGTGGTCGTCGTCGTCGCCGTGTTCGTCGTCGCCATCGTCGTCGTGGTCGTCGTCGTAGTCATCCTCGTCGTGGTCCTCGTCGTCGTCGTCGTCGCCCGTCTCTGACCCCCTTGTGGTCGTACTCGGCGTCGTCGTCGCCGTCGCCCTGTCCTCCCACGCGATCCCTCCATGGAGCCTCCTAGACCCAATTGCCCATGTCCTCCCAAGATGCCCCTGCGATGCCGCACAAATCTTGGCAACCTGATCTCCGCGACTGGTTGTCTCGAGCGCGCCTAGACGAGCACCTGAATGATGAGAACGGGCCTAATTTTCTCACGCGCTGAAGGACTGAGCAGCTGAAGTCGGCCTGAGTCCAACTCGACCCGCTGAAGGGCTGAGATGCTGAAGCATCTGTCTCGTGATATGCCGACCTCAGTCCTGAACGGGCGGGTATGGGCCTGGTCTGTCACGAAGTTCCTTCTCATGGCTCTGCATGAACGCCTTGCGCTCGTCGTCCTCGGTCACAGCTGCGTCCAGTGAGTCGGCGGCGTTGGTTGCACGGCACCTCAAAGATCTCAACCTGCTCTTCAGGATCTGATTCATGAGCCTCTGGATGGCCAGTTCTTTGCCGAGCTTCTGGATCCTGCGGCGAACTGCGGGGGACGCGTTGGGCGGAAGCGGTGGGAGATCAGGCGCGTGCGGCTTGAGGGGGTGCCTGAGCGCCTTAGGCGCCATGCTGTACTGTGGAGGCAAACGATGGCGAAGAGGCAGAGTGGGGACTGCGCGGCAAAGCTTGGACCACCGTAGCTAGCACTGGGAAAATACAATGCGTGGAGAAGTCGATGCTTGTCTTATCCTTGATAATGATAATGTACCAGCGCCAACTCCAAATATAATCATTGAAACTGGATGTTTGGGTACTGTGGTATGGCAAGCCCGAATAATGTTTAATCACGTAAAGACATGCGGCCACAGAAAAGCGCTGCGCTCGTGGGTAAGGGCGCGCGTGTATATGCCCCCGGACGGGGAACATACACGCATAGACGCGCGCATCATCTATTAAACCCACACGAACCTACATGCACACGCGCATATGTATGTGCGTATATACCTGACGCCCGAGCACACATCACCGTGCACTTGCACAGGCAAGGTGGCACTGGGGCCTTGGATGGAGCTCTATATGAGGCCACGGAACGTGTGATGGGGTGTGCCGAAAGGGGGTGTTGCCCACATGCGGGCGGCGCCACTGTGGCCTTCGGTGGGGCCCCCTATGGGCCACGAAATGTTTGAGGGGTGTGCCGAAAGGGGGGGGGAGCACATGGACGGCGCCACTGGGGCCTTCGGTGGAGCTCCCCATGGGGCCACGAAACGTGCGAGGGGTGTGCCGAAAGGGGGGGGGCACCCACATGCGGGCGGCGCCACTGGGGCCTTCAGTGGAGCTCCCTATGAGGCCACGAAACGTGTGAGGGGTGCGCCGAAAGGGGAGGCGCCCACATGGACATCCGAGGGGGTGGAAGAGGAGGTTTTTTATCAGACCACGCACACAGGGAAAATGTGAGAGAACGAAACAACTAACTTGCCAGTCGCGCCTGACGCAACGACACAGGCTCTCACCATCTGTCGCGCCGTCACGCTTGACGCCACGACCCAGGGCCCCGCCATCTGTCGCGCCGTCGCGCCTGACGCCACGACAGAGACCGACAGCAACATGGAAAAACTCCGATTGGTGCGACCGCCCATCGCGTCCACACTGTTAGCCTAGGGGCCGCCCCGCGCCCGTCACTCGCCCCGCGCCACGCTCATCCAAGGCATCTGCTACATTTCGTTGATGCCATCGCGCGCGCAAGTCCCCCCGCGTCGCCCCCCCCCCCCCCCGCCATCGCATCGCGCCGCGTCCTGCGCCTCCTGCGTCGCGACGGCCAGCAGGACACAAGCGACGCCGATCTGGCGCCCCCCTGCAGGGCCCCAATGCGCGCCCCCCTCCCCCGTCCACAGCGAGACGGCCAGACATCGACGGTCAGATACACCCGGGTTGACCGACACCCGTCGGTCACATCGCCGTGAGTCGACCGCAATCGATCGGTCAACGCGCCGCGAGCCGACCGCACTTTGTCGGTCAACTCGCGCGACCCTGGCCCGCGTTTTTTTCAAGTCAACTAGGTCCGGCAACTAGGGCGGTCAACTAGGGCGGTCAACTAGGTTGGTCAACTCGACTCATCAGGTCAACTAGGTCGGTCAACTCGTTTTGGGTAGATCAACTCGGTCGGTCAACTAGGTTGGTCAAATCGACTCGGCAGGTCAACTAGGTCGGTCAACTAGGTCGGTCAACTAGGTTGGTCAACTCGACTCGTCAGGCCAACTCGACTCGCCAGGTCAAGTCGACTCGTCAGGTCAACTAGGGCGGTCAAGTTCAAGTTGCGACTCCTTGGTGCGCGGCTTTTGAAATCAACTCGATCTTGCGACCTCTCGGTGGGCGACTTTTGAAATCAACTTGCATCTGCGACGGCGCATGGCTCAGAAACCACCTCAGGTCGCTGGTGTCGGCATCGCCAATCGACTTGCGGGAGGCGGATTTCACCAGGCCCAGAGCGGCAGGCATACAGAAATGCAGGCCCAGGCTCGATTGACCTAGCGCGCGACGCGGCCTGGGCTGCCAGTGCGGCCACGGCAACGGGCCAGAGCGCCCGCACTTGCGCAGGTTGGCACAGTGAGCAGGGCCTCACGGCATTGCGAGCAGAACCCCACAGGCCGCGTAGGCATTGCGAGCATGGTCTCACGGCGTTGGCTGCGATGTCCGCGAAGTCGCCTGACGGCGGTGAGAGGGGGGCTGGCGGTGGCGAGAGGGGGGGGCAGCAATGACGGCCGCGCGCTGGGAAGGGGCGCTGACGCAGTTTCCGAAAGGATTCTGGGCGCATCCTGAAAGGCTTCTGCTCGGCCCCCCAAAAGCTTCTCAGAAGTTTGTTTACCCGATGATTGCCGAAGGCTTCTCGGAATATTTTGAGCTATGCAAGAGTGGTACCAACGCCTTGCAAGGGCCTCTCACAATGTTCTGAAGGACCTCTGGCAGGTTTCCCCCGAGGCTTCTCCGAGGCGCCCCAGGAGCTCTGACAACCCAACCTGGGCTACCAAAGGGACGTCCGAGGGGGTGGATGGGGGAGGTGCTTTTACCATCGGGCCACACACACACCGCTTGCGTTTTTATTATGCGATCAGACCTTATCATATCATCGCACACCATCAGGACAAGTCATCACTCCATCACACACGCACCATCAGGACACCATTACCATCAGACCATCGCACACCACACCATACACTCACACTTGATCCTACCATCGCATACCATTACCATCAGACCATACACACCATCAGGACAGGTCATGTTTTATCATACTTGCGCATAAGTTGGGCTGTTATGGTGATGCTGTTTAAATTAGCGCTTAAGCTTACCACTATGTGCATTGATTATATGTTTGCCTGAGTGTGTGTGTGTGTGTGTGCGTGTGTGCGTGTGCGGGCTCGTTGGGAAAGAACCCCTACAGGCTGCCTATTGGTGCGTGCAGCGGTTGCGTTGATAGTTGCATTCATTCGCATCTGCTCGTAAGTGAGCTGAAAACCGACGACAATGAGCGACGAAGATGGGATTGGGAATGGGCCGCCACGATCTGGGAGTTGGATGAAGCGAACGCTGGCCGACGTGGCTCCATGATGATCGAAGCAGCCCCAGGAAGCTGACGTCCCGAAACGACCCGCTTGGCTCTATCCCTAGAAAGTGGCGGAAGGGCCATTGTGATGGGGATGGGGTCGAAAGGGCAACGGCCAGGGGAAGTGGGGATTGGGAGATGGGGAGGGCGTATGCGCGGGGCAATGGCGAGGAGTAGGGGGCGGGTGATATGAGTCACGGGGGCAACTTGGAATGAGGGGCCCAATAAAGGATTCCAATGTGCTGGCCCTCGTGGCACTTCCGCAAGGCCCTGTATATTCCTCCCTCTTCCATTTCTCCTTTTCCTCGCCTTCCCCTGTCCCTGAATTGCCCGACCCTGTCTCACCTCCACCTCCTCCTCCCCCTCCGTCTCCCCCCCCCCCCTCCATCCTCCTCCACCGCTCCCCCTTACCATTGTAAGGTGTTCTGGAAGCCCTGCGGAATCGTTGTGATAGAGCGGTGCGGTAGGCTGACGGTCGAGTGGCTCGGCCGCGCGAACGCCCCAACACCGCCGCTCCCCCAGCCGATCCCAGCCCCCATGTTGACAGATGAGGAGCTTGAGCAGATGATCGGCTGAACGCGCTTGCTTGGACGGAGCCCCCTCGGGACGGCAGCGCCAGAACCAGTAGCTTTTTTTGGGGGGGGGCCAAGCTGCCTCACAAAACCGGAGCCTTTAACGCCGCGCGTGGATGAGGAGAGCGAAGTCGAGGATTGGTGCACGCGGAGGGTAAAGGCGAGGAGAGGGCAGGAGGAGGACAAGGAGGGAGGAGAGGGAAGGCGATAATGAAACAAGCGAAGGGTACTGGAGGAGCAGGAACGCGAGGAGTGGGCGAGAGAAGGAGGAGGGTAGGTGGTAGCGTTTCAATGGCTTG